CCCTGCTCTGGCCCTAAAGTTGCCTGGTTCCCCTATCTTTAGATGGGATGGTAGTCAGAGTTCTCTAAGGAAGAAAAAAAAACTGATAAAAACCTATATATCTTAAAGGTGGATTTGTTGGTTTGGCTTACATGATATGGTCTAGGTCAGTGGTTCTCAACCTGTGGATCATGACACCCTTGGAAGTTGAATGACTCTTTCACAGGGGTCACCTAAGACTATCAGAAAACACAAATATTTACATTATGATTAACAACCATAGCAAAATCACGGTTACAAACCAGCAAAAAAAAATAATTTCATGGTTGGGGTTCACCACAAATGAGGAACTGTATTAAAGGGTGGCAGCATTAGGAAGGTTGAGAACCACTGGACTAGGTCAAGCAACAATGGCTGCCTTCCCACTGGAGAGCATGAGAACATGGGAGCTACTCAATCTTTAGCGTCCATGCTTCAACAGTTCCAGTCTGGCACTGAAGGCCTGGAGGACTCCTGGGGACTCCAATCTATGTCAGAAGGTTGAAAAGCCAGGTTCTCATGGCAGCAAAGAATGGTGGCAGCCATGACGAACAGAAAGATGCCAACGGGGCAGAAAAACTTGCCAACAGACCTTGCAGACAAGAAGTGTGATGGGGGAGTAAAAGGTATTGTCCACATTTAGGATGGGCATCCTCACTTCAATAACTGATCAAGAAAATCTTCATAGGTGCAGCAGTCTACTGGCTCGCTTGACAGCCAAAGTTAGTCAATACAGATAGGGATGGTATTAAAAACCAAGGTCTGGATACGAGGTATATAGTCTTTGCTGTTGTGATGCTTGCTTCTTAGCCCTTGCAGCAAAGCTGCATGTATGTACATGTTGCATACATATGCATGCTGATACATGGATGTATACATGTGCTTTAGAAATATGGAACACACTGGTGCCTCAGTTTCCATCCATTTCAACAGGGATTATTTTCCCTTCCCCCAACTCCATATTATTCATTTCCTATCCTCCTAATGAAATCTGGGTTGCCAACAATGACAGAGTTAGCACTAGTTTGCTGTGTTCTGTAACATATAAAAGTGTTTCAGAATTGCTTTTTCCTCTAGTGAGGAAGAGTCCACTATGGGGCATCAGGCCCACCTAGGAGAAATCATTGCTGAGAGTAAGTATAAACTGCTGTGTGTCCCTCTATTCCTTCATTGAAAAGGAGGGTAGGGACAAGGGTGACATTCAGTGGTGGAGCACTCACCCAGCATGTGCAAAGCTCTGAGCTTAGCATCTAGCAAACACAGATCTCTTAAAGCTTAGGGTATATAGTCAAACACAGATCTCTCCTCCTTCCCCACTCCTGTCTTCCCCTTCCCTCCTCTTCCTCCCCTCTCCCCCTTTTCTCTCGCCTCTCCCTCTTCCCCCTTCCCTTCTCCCCTTCCTCTCCCTCCCCTTTCCCTTTTTCCCCTCCCTTTCCCCCTCCCCTCTCTCCCTTTCCCCCCTCATCTCTCCCCCTTACTCCCTCCTCTCTCTCTCCTTCCCATCAATGTGGCTATGTTATTCATCTAAACTACATTTGATGGGTTAGTTTCAGTTTGCTTTCAGTTTCAGAGGATCTTTTCTATCCATATTAATTTATGAATATATAAACACTGACATGCTTCCAGAGGCTAAAGTTATACAACAGACACACTCAGACAAGTATTGCTCTCTCTGTATTCCTTCTGCCCACTCCTCTTCTTGGCAGCCAACTTTAATGTTTCCTGGCTGGTCCTCTCTGAGTTGTTCTGGGAGAAATAAGCAAATACAGATGTTGACCTATCTTTCCTTCTTTACCACATAAAAAGAAAAACACTTTGATGATGTTAACCTTGATGGTCAGATTGAGCAGCTCTTGGAGCAGGAAGGCACACCTCTGTGAGGGCATTTCCAGAGGGCATGGACTAAAAGCTGCTTCAATGTGGGAGGAGCCGACTCCTTCCTAGCAGTCCTGGAACTCACTGTGTAGACCAGGCTGGCCTTGAGCTCACACCTAACTCTGCCTCTGCTGAGATCAAAGGGGTGTGCCACCACCACCACCTGGCTGCTATTTCTTCCCAATTACTTTATTCTGATTTACACCATAATTTTGTTTAAACAAATAAATTTCCTAAATATATTTAAAAGCAACTCCCTATCAGATTAAAAGAAAGATGTCTTATTCCAGAGATGGTGGCTAAAGCCTAGGGAACTAAATAAATAAACAAATAAATAAATAAATAAATAAATGGAAAGGATAAGTTTTATTAAGATTGAACTTAGGGTACCTAAGTAAATCTCTAAGCTTTGATTACAGGTGTCATTGTAGAGAGGCACCTTGGTGAGAAATGGAAGCCACGGGTATTCCCTGAAGCATGAAATCTAAGCATACCATCCTTTACTAACAGACATTCATGACCAATAAGGCAACCTTCTTACCCATGGAATAAATAGTCAGCCTTGAGAGCTTGCCAAAACATCCACATACTATTTCTTTGCATCTTCATTACTTTGGAAAATGTTTTCTAACAGTCTTCTTACAAAAGGAGAAACCAGGTAGGTCTTGCTTTATGTAAAATCAGTGGGTGTGGTTTTCTGAGCTCTGTGACTACACAACACAGGCCAAAGAAGCCAAGTCAAAAGCTAGCAAGCAATTAGAGCTGACTGAAGAAACAGGAACCCAACTCTAATTAATGAAATTGCTAATTACCCTTCTCTCTGCAGACATGACTCTGCTCTTGGTCTTCCGCCCTGGCATGGACTTGGCTTCTGTCATGCTTCCTACAAAACAGTGGCAGCAAAGGATATCCCTTCCAAGTTACATTTGCCCACAAAATAAGTCTCTCCTGTCCTTTCTAGAGCCACATTTCCCAGCCCTTGAAGCTCAGATCTGCCTACTGCCACAGAAACCATAAGGAGAGACCACCTAGCTAGTCCCTGCCCAGGCATGAGATGTGCAAGACACTGGACCCAAACAGCTTCCCTCCTGGTTTTTCTTCCCTTCTTAGTCCATTTGAACCTGGTAACATAGGTTCTGGGCAGCCTACTTCCTGACCGACTGGGAAATCTGAGATGCAACCCCCAAAACTAGCCCCAGAACCCAGAAAATATTGCCAATGTTCAGTGACCGTCTCAGGCCAAGGCTTGGAACTGTCAGTGACCAAAATACGTGGGAAATCATCAGCACTTTGAACATCCCTTCAAACCCACATGCGACCATCAAGTCCAACACTGACTCTTAACACTCGAGACACGCACGTTTTCCTCTCTATGCCGCATTGCCTTCGTCCACAGGAAAAGGAAAAGATATTAGTTTCTTTCCTCACTGCTGTAACAAAACACCTGAAAATTACATGTTTAATTTTTTAAAAATCAAGTCTTTTTTGAGGCAGGTGGTTAGTTGTACCCACAATTAGGAGGCAGAGAGAGACAGACAAATGTTGGTCATCTGTTGGATTTCTTTTTTTTTTTTAATTCAATCTTTTACCCTAACCCATGCAACGGTGCCACCCAGAGTTTGCATGAGTTTTTCTTTCATAATTCTCCCAAAGATGTGAAATTCGGTGAAAACACTAAGACAGCACCTCCCTGGTTAATGTCAACTGTCTCATCCACCACTTCACTCAATTCAAGCTCCAAACCTCATATTTTTGCCACATTTCTAATCCGCTGTCAAGCCCAGTCATTCTGCCTGAAGACACCTCATATATTCTTCCACTCCCCTACTTACTCTTTGCCGCTGCTTGAATTGTGCTCTGAGACAGAATCTAGAAGTTGCCTTCTCCAAAGTCCCATCCATCCTTCCCCCTTAATAAGTAACTCCTGAATTTTAGCAGGTTAGACATTCAATTCAGCTGGAGAAATGTATTTCCCAGGTCTCATCTAATCAGGGCACTACGCAGCTAAGTTCTAACCAATGGGAAGTGAGCAAATTTAATAGGGTAGATTTCTGGAGTTTCCCTTTTGCTTTTTAATATGTATATGGGTATGTCTTCTTATGACTATGTACACATAACTGTAGTGCCTAGGGGGGCAGAGGTATGAGCATTCCCTGGAGCGGGAGTCACAGGCAGTTGTGAGCCACCCAACACAGGTCCTGAGAACCAAACTTGGGTCCCATGTAAGAACAGTATGTGCTCTTAACCAGCCAGCCATCTCTCCAGCTCTGAAGTTCCCCTTTTTGAATCGTGCTTTTCTGCTCCCTCTCTTCGCCTCACTGCTGATATGGTCTTGAAAAGAACAGCCCCACCCTAGGATGGCAGAACTGAGAGCCGGAAGATGACTTGCTCCCTGATAACTTTACAGCATGCACAGCAGTTCTTGGCTGCTTGCTACTTTCTAAGAGACAGAAATAAACTTAAACTTGTGACAGGGACAGACACAAGTGAAGAGAATTCATCATGACTAGTACCCCACTGTTTCTCCCTTTTCTAGATTACAGCAAAGACTTTCTGCATTTAGTTTCTTTGCCTCTCAATATCTCTCCCCATCCATCCTTCTCTGCCTACCCACACACACACACACACACACACACACACACACACACACACACACACACCAGTCTTCCAAGAACACAGCTCTCTCTGTTCCCTCACAGAACCTTCAATGACCCTCACCCCCATGGCCCAATCTCCTTGGATACCATCATTTGGCCCCACCTACCTCTTGCCCTTACCCTGACTCCTCCCCTTCCTCCCTAACCAAACTTAATTTTTTCTTGCTTCATGTCCTTATTCCATTCTCTGCTAGCCTCACATATTCACCCATATTCTGTCCTTTTAGAGTTTATGTGCTCAAATTTGAACTGTCTTTCAGGGCTCAATTGCCATTTGACCTACTATGGAGCCAGCTTATCTGCTCCCAAGCAAGAAGCCTTGGTTCTCGGAACCTTCCCAGCACCCTCCTCATGTGAGGGAGCCCTGAAGGCCTTCCCACACCAAGACCGGTCAAATTCCTGTCCTTCTGGCCAGACTTCTCCTTTGCCTGCTGAGGTCCCAGGACTCACCTACTCAACCTGTCTCTTGGTTCTCTTCCTACCCAGGGACATCGCTCTTCAGGCTTGTCTAGCCCCATCTGTAGAGAGCTGCAACGTGCTGCGCCTTAAAGATGGCGCTGGTTTCCGCCTTCCACCCTCCCAACAGTGAGTGCTCTCTGTAATAAACAACTCCATATTTGGCTAAGGCGGAGATCTAGGCTTGCTTCCGCATATGTGAACCTGCAGTCACCACGTGACATGCCAGGGTTGGCTACTCTTAGGCTTTATAAGCAGTGGGTTGGCTTTCCCTGGGGTCAGAAGATTGTTCAAGGTTCCTGAATAAATTGCTTAAAGAAGAGTTCGTGTGTTGCTCCTTGCTGGTTCGTCTCCCTTGCTGGTCGAGGCGGATGCAACAAGTGGTGGCCCGTTTGGGGAACATTCATCTGAGGACTCAGAACTTTCTGCAGTCAGGGCAGTGCACTGGTAAGTTCCCAGGTAAGATGGGAATCTGCAACAAAAGCTGGTATATTGCTCCTCTCCGTAGATACAGAGGGAGCGGGAAAAGTTCGAGGACAAGCGAACCGAAAGTAAAACAAAAGGGAAGACTGCACTAGTTTGGCCATGGGCGCTTCTCAGTCGCACCCAATTTTTTTAGCTCTGAATGAGCTGCTTCGTTCTAAGAATCTAAAATTTAAGAAAAGCACTCTTGAGAGGTACCTGGTGTTATGCGATGCCATTGCACCTTGGTTCTCAGTGTCCGGGAGTTTTAAGATTTCTTCATGGGATAAGTTAGGCAGAGAACTTGATTTTGCCGCAGAAGATAGAACACATAAAGGTGGAGTAAGACCTATCTGGAAACTAGTGAGAAACTGCCTTGAGGATCAGAGATGCAGTGAAGCTGTGGAGAATGGACAGGCAGCTTTAGAAATGTTACAGGAAGAAAGGTCAGAGCAAGCAGATAGCGAGAAGGGTAGCGAGTCAAAGCAAAAATTATACCCTGACCTTACCGATTTAGAAGACTCAGAGTCTACAGACTCTGAGGAAGAATTACAAGCTCTTGTAGAACAGATTGAGAGAGGACAAAAATAAGGAAAAGGGAAAAGAAGGAGAGGGAGAGACCTGGAGAGGAAGACTGTTGCAGATCTTCTCAGTGTAGGGTGACGCCATCTGCCCCCCCTCCTTACGCTGAGGGAAGAGGTTTTCATGGGATAAGTTAGGCAGAGATCTTGATTTTGCCGCAGAGCAGGGAACACTTAAAGGCGGAGTAAGATCCATCTGGAAACTAGTGAAAAACTGCCTTCAGGATCAGAGATGCAGTGAGGCTGTGGAGAATGGACAGGCAGCCTTAGAAATGTTACAGGAAGAAAGGTCAGAGCAAGCGGATAGCGAGAAGGGTAGCAAGTCAAAGCAAAAATTATACCCTGACCTTACTGACTTAGAAGACTCATAGTCTACGGACTCTGAGGAAGAGTTACAAGCTCTCGTAGAACAGATTGAGAGGACAAAAATAAGGAAAAAGGAGAAAAGGGAGAGGGAGAGACCTGGAGAGGAAGACTGTTGCAGATCTTCTCAGTGTAGGGTGACGCCATCTGCCCCTGCCTCCTTACTCGGAGGGAAGAGGAAGCGGAGTAGGACGTTCTTTCTGCCCCAGGTTTGGAAAGCGGTGAGAACCAAGCTGCATTTGGCTTATCCTGTGTTTCAGGATGCACAAGGAAATAGGTGTGAAGAGCCACTAGATTTCAAAGTTATCAAGTCCTTGGCCGAATCTGTAAGAACGTAAAAGATTGTTTCAGTTTCTCTTACAGAATTGGTCATCCGAGTTTGAAGATACTATGAGAGACCTCAGGATGGCTATCTTGCATGTGAATTCCACCCGAATGGACCTATCCCTTGCGAGCAGCCTGACCTCCTGGTTGAACTCTGCCATGGACCATCTAAAGGAATGGGTGGGCTTGGGGGCACTTGCAGGCCTTTTGGTGCTGGTCTCCTTGGTATGCCTCTGGTGTATATGTAAGATCAAAGTCACACAACGGCATGATGCAGTCATGATCATTCAAGCCTTCACAGCCATAGAAGCAGGACAGTCCCCCCAAACATGGTTAGCGACCATGAAGAATTGAAATTTGTCGCGCTCAGGATGCAAGGCTAAGCACTGCACTTTGGGTCAGCCTTTGGGACCCAAAGAGGAGCATGTCTGATTGCATGCAGGTTGGCACCCTGATTCCCGCCTCTGTGAAAAGGGTGTGGGACGGGTCTGGTGCTCGTTTTAGGTGGGTGACATCTGAATGAGGATCAGTACAGAGTCCCATTGTTTCAGAGATCAGACCTCTACTCTTGCCTGTTCCGTGTTTTTTAAATAATACAGGGGGAACTGTAGAGAGCTGCGACATGCCACGCCTTAAAGGTGGCGCTGGTTTCGGCCTTCCACCCTCCCAATGGTGAGTGCTCTCTGTAATAAACAACTCCATATTTGGCTAAGGCTGAGATCTAGCCTTGCTTCCGAATATGTGAACCTATCTGCAGTCACCACGTGGCATGCCGGGGTTGGCTACTCCTAGGCTTTATAAGCAGTGGGTTGGCTTTCCCCGGGGTCAGAAGATTGTTCAAGGTTCCTGAATAAACTGCTTAAAGAAGAGTTCGTGTGTTGCATCTCCCTTGCTGGTCGAGGCGGATGCGACACCCATCTCCTCAGGTGCCACCTCCTTGCCCATCCCAGAAACAGAGATACTGATTCCATTCACCTTAGGGCTCTCCCGTCAATCCCCTAGCCCCATCTTGCTAGGGTTGGGTTTGGGAGAAGAGGCATAAATAATGTCCCTCTTCTTCCTAAGATCCCAACCACAAACCAAGGCAGGATTCCACCCAAGTTCACTCTGGGGAGCCAATGAATCCATTAGGCCTGTTTACCCAGCGATGGGTGACGGGGTTATAGGCAGGGTCATAGGACAGAAGGCAGCCACACTGAAGGTCAGCACCCACACATGGATGATGACTCCTCTGTGACTGTGCAGACCAGTGGTTCTCAACCTGTGGGTCACGACCCCTTTGGGGTCAAACGACCCTTTCTCAGGGGTCATATATCAGATATCCTGTATATCAGACATTATATATTACATTATTATTCATAATAATAAACCTGTGGGTCACGACCCCTTTGGGGTCAAACGACCCTTTCTCAGGGGTCAATATATCAGATATCCTGTATATCAGACATTATATATTAACATTATTATTCATAATAGTAACAAAATTACAGTTATGAACTAGCAATGAAATATTTTTATGGTTGGGGGTCATCACAACATGAAGAACTGTAGTAAAGGTGCATTCGTCACTTAAGCCAAGACACAGCGCAGGTCCAATGTGAAGAGATTCCTCATGCCATCTTTCCTAACTCCACCTGCCTTGTCCCAATTTTTCGCTCCATTCCTAACACCAGCCATTCCTACTCTGTTGTCTATCTTTGCAACAAGCCCTTTGTGGTGGTTTGAATAAAAGTAACTCCCACAGGCTCATCCATTTGAATGCGTAACAATCAGGAAGTGGCCTTACTTGAAAAGGATTAGGAGGTGTGGCCTTGTTGGAGGAAGTGTGTCACTGGAGGTAGACTTTGAGGTTTCAAAAGCCCACACTAGGCCTAGTGTCTCTGTGCTCCCTGACATGATGATAATGGACTAAATCTCTGAAACTGTAAGCAAGCCCGCAATTAAATGTTTTATTAGAGTTGTGTTGGTCATGGTGTCTCTTCACAGCAATAGAACAGTGACTAAGACAATGGTCATGGTGTCTCTTCACGTCAATAGAATGGTGGCTAAGACACTACTTCAGGAAAGCTATATGAATGGAATCATACAATTCTAACCCTGGGGGTTGACTTTTTTCACTCAGAATATTTTCTTGGAGATTCACGTTGGTCCATGGATTGATAATTCATTCCTTCTGATTGCTGGGCCTTGGGGCCCAGGCCTGTGATCCCAACTGCTTGGGAAGATGAGGTACAAGCCTTCTTGGGCTACAAAAGGTGAGATTCTGTCTCAAAATAAAAAGTAGAAAGAAGACTAGAGATATAGTTCAGTAGTAGCGAGCACAACTGCCACACATGAAGCCTTTGGGTCAATTTTCAGTACTATAAAAAGTAAGTGTGGGGTGGTGGGGTGCACACACTTGCATGTGGTGTGTGTGTGTGTGTGTGTGTGTGTGTGTGTGTGTGTGTGTATGTATGTCTGTGTGT